CTTAACAATCCCTTTGCTTAATAACCAAGTTGTTGGTCCCAATTGTGGCCACTAAATGAGGACTACTTATAAAAGAGCCAGGAGGACACTTCTGAGCCACCTTTTGGTGCCTTCTGGATTACCATCAAAGGACATCACTTAAACTTGGTAAAAGATTTGACAGTCAGAGTAGAGTAGGTAACTCTTAGGATGGAAAATCTGTTTAGTTTTGGAGATTTAAATTTAAAGAGAGTTTGAGATTTGGGGTGTGTTTTTATGATGATTGCAGTTTTTAATTCTGACTACAGAAAAGGTAGCTTGCTAAGGTTGCTTTGCAGCAAAAATACTATGCCTTAGAGCTGGGGTGTCCAACCTTGGCAACTTTAAGACTTGTAAACTTCACCTCCCAGAATTCCTCAGTTAGCCTCCTGGCTAGGGGATTCTGAGCATTGGTCTTAAAAGTTGTCCAGGTTGATCTGTCTGTTTTAAATGTATGTCAAATAAATGTTTTTTTTTTTCTAGAATAAAAATTATATAAAATTAATTTAAAAAAAAAAGTTGTCCAGGTTGGACATCCCTACCTTAGAGTCAAGTCAGGTTGAGAGTTTGGCTTCCTTGTAGACTGGTTCAATTTGGCATGGATGTTGGATTAGCTTTAAGGTGACTTTTTATGGTTACTGGCGTTGACGATCACTTTTAGTTTAGATAAAATAAATGATGTTCTATTGGTTTAGATTAGGTTGCTTCAGGTCTAAATTGCACTTTTAAGGAGTGGATAAGTTTTCAGATTTCAGTGTTTTTATGATTACTGATAGTCTTAAATTTTTGTTAGAGGTGGCTTGGCTTTAAAGAAAAATCATTTCTTTTAAGGTCAGCTTACGGCTGAGATTTAGCTGCAGGGTTATCTTAATGTTATCTCACAATGGATATTGCTTTTGGAGATAACACTTTAGGCTAAACCACCGTTTTCCCATGTTAATTTTAGACTTTGTTGAGTTATATCGTTAAATTTTGTAAGAACATAAACTTTCTAACCTCATCTCTAAAGGAGATGGACGGTTCAAAAATGTGAAAAATAAATAAATAACACTTTGGGTTGAGTTTTTATTTTATATTCGTGGAATGATGACATCCTGTGTCCATCTTTGAAGCTCACCAGTGTGCCACACACACACACACACACACATATCTCACATCTGAGAGTTTACCCCAAGTACCTATTCATTATCTTGAAAATGCCAACTGGCAATTTTGAATGTCACACATACCTCTTGTGCAAATTTGCTGAACTTTTTCCCCAGTAAATCTTCTTTGTTTTTATTTTATCAGGGAGAACTTGGAATGCAGCAGAATCCCTGTTTGATTCTGTTTCACTCTTCCATGATAGAATATCACAGCATCTTAACTGGGCAACAGTAAATAGCTATCAATGGCTTAGATCAGAGGTCTCTGAACTTGGCAACTTTAAGACTTGTGGACTTCAACTCCCAGAATTCCCCAGCCAGCTGGCTGAAGAATTCTGGGACTTGAAGTCCACAAGTCTTAAAGTTGCCAAGTTTTGAGATTCCTGGCTTAGATGATGGATAACTGTTTTTTTTGGGGGGGTGGGGGGGAGGAGAGTCATAGCTGAGCAACAAAGCATGTGTTTAAAGAAGTTCAGGATTCAAATCTTCTCAGCCCTAATTAAAAAAGAAAGGTGATAGGAAAGAATTCTGATGCAAACTACGTAAGTGGTTATTAATTCAGGTTGATCAAGATAGATGGAATAGTAGTGAATATATGCACCAGGCTTGATTTAGATGGGCGAGCAACCTTTTATGTAAAGCTTGCTTTATTAAAATGCTGCGTAATTTAAGATACGACCGCTCAGTGCCATTTGACTTTAGTTCAATTATTCACGCAGCACTCTGGATTCCCAGAGAAAAACATTTGGCGACGTCTTAAATCAAAATGCCTTCTCTCTCTCTCTCTCTCTCTCTCTGTGGCTCAGTAAACCATTTTTATATAATAGCTCAGAACTGAATCCATTTGTGTGACCTAATTGTAGTTGTCCCTTCCTTCCACTACTAACTGTTTTGTGTCATCTTGGCCAAAACTAACCTGGGGAAGGGACAGGACATCAGCACAACAGAATAACTTGATGGAAAGTTTTCTCCAAAATATTCTAGGTTTTTTTCCCCCACCCGACATTGTTTCTCAAAGGGGTGGGATGTCAAGGTGGCATCAGAGCCATGGTGGCACAGTGGTTAGAATGCAGTATTACAGGCATAACTCTGCTCACTGTCAGGAGTTCGATTCTCACTGGCTCAAGGTTGACTTGGCCTTCCATCCTTCCAAGATATGAGGACCCAGATTGTTGGGGGCAAGAGGCTGACATTAAAAACTACTTAGAGATGGGCTGTAAAGCACTGTGAAGTGATATATAAGTCTAAGTGCTATTGATGTTGCTGTTTTAATTTTGTTTAACATGGAAGTATCCTTTTTAATCGAGAGTATTTCCCTCCTAGAATTATACTACGACCGAGGGAACCATCATGAATTTGTGTCGCTGGTAAAAGATTTGGCCCGTCCTGGTGAATTCACCCAGTCACAAACTTTTGACTTTGAATTCACCCATGTGGAGAAACCGTACGAATCGTACACTGGGCAGAATGTGAAGCTGAGGTGAGTTCCATTTCCACAAGTGAATGTTTTTCCCTCAGGAGATAAACCTGCTTAGAAAGAAGTGGTACGGTGGCCTAGAGGTGGAGCTCTTGCCTCACAATCAGGAGGCTGTGAGTTCGATCCTGGGTAGAGGCAGATATTTCTCTCTCCGGGCACAATGAGAATATATCTGCTGAACAAAAACTCCGCATTGGCAACAGGAAGGGCATCGGGCCAGTAAACACTACTAGCTCCATTCAGTTGTCCAGACCACCCCGCAAGGGATTATGTGGTTGTTAGATGAAGATGATGATGATGATAAACTTTCGTAGATGCATCTTAATCCACCTTTTCCCCTTTCTCAGGTACTTCCTCCGGGCCACCGTGAGCCGTAGATTGAATGACGTGGTGAAAGAGATGGACATTGTGGTGCACACCCTTAGCACGTATCCGGAGCTCAATTCCTCCATTAAGATGGAGGTGGGGATTGAAGATTGCCTACACATTGAGTTTGAGTACAACAAATCCAAGTAAGTTGGCTTCTGCTGCACTTCTTAAGAGTCTTGTGGCTGGTGATGTAGCCAAGGAACATGTGAAGAACGGTCACAGCAATTGGGTATGCTTCGTTCAATGAAAAGAACAACTAGTGATGAAATGGCCTGTTTTTTGGCTGGTCCTCGGGCCCTTTTACAGTGCTCGCGAAGACCAGCTGGCCACGCGTGCCACAGGTTCGCCATCACGGATCTATAACCATCTCTTCCAGGTACCACTTAAAAGACGTGATCGTAGGGAAAATCTACTTCCTTCTCGTCCGGATCAAGATCAAACACATGGAGATTGACATCATCAAGAGGGAAACCACTGGCACGGGGCCCAACGTCTACCACGAAAACGACACCATTGCCAAATATGAGATTATGGACGGAGCCCCTGTGAGAGGTGAGCTGGAGGAGCCATCTCCATGGTGGGCCTTTCAAGGGCTTTGTGGCCAGTGGTGGGAAGAGAGGAAGCCAACCCCCCCCTTTTCCTCACCATCTTAATATCCTGTTTGTGGCACGCTATTGCAACGCGCTGTCCATGGGGCTGCCCTTGAAGAGCACCTGGAAGCTCCAGTTGGTGCAAAATGCAGCGGCCCGCATGGTTTTGTTCAGACCTCGATGTACACATGTAATATCTCTCCTGCGGGAGCCGCATCGGCTGCCGATTTGCTTCCAGGGTGCAATTCAAGGTGCTGGTTGTCACCTTTAAAGCCCTTCATGGCTTGGGACCAGGTTATCTGAGGGACCGTCTCTTGCCAGTCACATCTACCTGACCCATCAGAGGCAGGGAATGTTGCGGGTCCCATCCCTGAGGGAGGTACACCTGGCGGGACCCAAAAGAAGGGCCTTCTCTGTGGTGGCTCCCTCTCTCTGGAACATCATCTCCCCAGAGATTAAAATGGCTGCCACTCCTGGAAGGCACTGAAGACCTGGTTCTGCCAGCAGCGGGCCTGGGGAACGCAGAGCGGGATGGAGTCCATTCAATGGCTCGTATGAAGTGCTGTTGCCAGGGCAGAGGGTAGGAGTTGGGGGCTGATTTTGTTATACTTTATTAATTTATTTGATTATTGTTAGTTTTTATTGTTTTAAATATGGTTTTATATTCTGTAAGCCGCCACGAATCTCCATGGGCGAATAGGCAGCAATATAAATTCAATAAATAAATGAATGAATGAATGCTCCAGGATTATAGGAGGTAGGAATATTAGGTATGGGCACCGCCTGGACTTAATTTTTTTATTTTAAATATTGTATATAATTATATGATATCTACATAGGTAAAATGTAAAATAAATATAAGAATAAAAGCACAGTGACGCATAAATAAAAGAAATGTATATTTGAAAAACCATATTTTGATATTTTACTATTACAGTCAAAATTCCTCAACAAAGTTGAATGCTAAAAAAATAAATAATGAAAATCAAAATGAAGCCAATAAAAATAAAATAGCCATCACTGGATAATAAAATTAAAATGAAGCCAATAAATAAAACAGAAATAACTACTAAACATAAATAATAAATGAATAATAAGAAAAAAATGGGTTTTTTTGTGTATGTATTTTTATCCAGTCCAGACAGCAC